AAACAAATATCACCTGGGTAAAGCCAGCCAAGCAAGAGAAGAGTAAAAATATTATTTTAAGATTTCCGACCAATCTTTATTTTCCACAGGCAATCAGAAACAAATCTATGCTTCACCTTCTCAACAAGATCCATAAATGTTATGTATCTTGTATGGAATATAGTAAATAGTACGAATAGATTGTGTTGGTTTAAAAAATGATGAGGGGGCAATCAGTAAATCATGGTAATATATTAATCATACTAATTTTAATAACAGGTAATATCTTAATGATTTACATAGTGAAATCTCACTAGCAATGCTGGTGGTGTTAATTCCAAAGAATTTCCATATTTGAAAACTACTATATAGAATCCAATTTTTCCCAGTTTAACAAACAAGGATTATGACGCATAATCTGATCCCAGGTAGCTAATAAATACCTTAATGAAATATATCGGTTTTATTTTCAGTGTAAGAATAAAGCAATACACAACTGTTATTTTCTATTCTTTCTGCAATGCATTCAGCAAGGGTTAAACTTGCTAAATTATCCAACACTTGTTTTAAGGGACCCACTTTTCCCCCCTCATGTGAATCACGTACAATCATAAAGAAGACAAATAACAGATTGATGAGTCATAGATGAGAATATCTGGCTGAAATATATAAGATTATTTTTTGCCAGGAACAACAACTGAGAGGGATTCACAGGCAGCATGAAGGTGACCTACACTATAATGACTAGTGACAACCGAGAAGATAAAAATGTTACCCAAGCCAAAAAAGAAAAGGAAAGAAAAGAAAAGTAACATACAGTACATATGATTCTTTCAAATACTCTTATCTTAGCAACAGCTAGCTTTGGATATTTTCTTTTTTATCTTAGCAGGCCTGATATACATCATGGGCATATCACAATTGCAGTCTGCAACATGCTAAAACCTTCTTTTGCCTACAAACCCTTAAGACAACCTATTTGGCTTTTTCCTATGAGGGATGACTGATAGCACTGAAATAGGCCCATAGAGTTAGCCATCTTTTCCTGAGACCACACAGCAGTTGTGTGAAGAAAGCTGTAATACCAAGAAAAGATGCCGCTCCCTTAAGAAATTGCCAACAGATACAGATAGCCATTGGGACTATCAACTCTACCATTATCCCAAAAGTGCTTTTTTTCTGGAGGCAACTGGGCTTTGTTTTTTTTTTTTCCTTGAAGACGTTTCACTAGTCATCCAAGAAGCTTCTTCTAGAACTGAAGAGGCTTCTTGGATGAGAAATGAAACATCTTCAAGGAAAAACAAAGGAAGTCCAATTACCTCTAGAAAAAAGCAGCTTTGGGAGAACCATGACCTGGATGACTGTGTTGAAGGAAAAGTCTTCATCATGGTTCAGTCCAAGGGGGGAATGAACAACATGGCGACTGCTTTAGAAAGAAGGTTGCAGTTTATTGAAGAGGAGAGCCAGATAGAAAGATGGCTCTGGAAGAAAAGAGGAATGAGCACATGTAGGGAGTGGATTTTATACCCTCTGGAGCCTTTTGTTTGGAGTTGTTCCTGTGGCATGAACTTTGACCTGAGTCTGAGTGTGCCTTTCTGGTATTCTGTAGATTAATCCTATTATGTCCTGTCTTAGAGTTTGGGTGGGGTATGTAGATTTTAGGTGTCTTTGTCTTCCTAAACTTCTAGCTGGGGGCCTCCAACCTTCCTGGATTATTTACATCTGCATTTCTACAGAGCTGGTTTCTGCTTGGGGGAGGATGACTTGGGGCTATTAAAAAAACTGGGCATGCTTTTCTGCCTCTTTAAGATCCTTTGAGGAAATATATCTTTCTGCCCTTTTAATATTTCCTTCTCTGGGGAGGGAGCTAACTTCCCACATCTGATAATTCCCTAGACACAACTCTACCATTAAGCAAAGTGATTGCTACATGAAACTACAATTGGTCTTAATGATATACATCAGCTTACTTTTGCTTTGCAGACCTGCAAAGGTCATAAATATGAGGACTGGTTTGCAAAATTACTTTTTCATCACCTAACTGTGAACGGTCTCTTAACATGGACTCTATACTATGTAAGGGCCCAGTGCATTCTATAGCATCTCTCCCCACTCAGCTGTGAATCAGAATGCTGCATAATTCTGCTGTATAATGAGGATTTGAATCTAGTCCAATATTCCAATACTGAGTAGTGGGCTTGTCACTAATATCAGCACAATCAGATTAATTTTTATACACAAGCTATATTATATTTGATTAAACATTTTGGCTGCCTAGAGAGGTCTGCTTATCGGGTGATTTAGAAATCCATTTAATTAAAGAAAAGAAATAAAAAATGTATTTTACCTTATTCAAGTAAAAGGCTACAACTCATTGGTAGTATACACATTTTAAATTTAAAAGGTTCCATGGTCCTTGGCTAGCGCTAACTGAGATAAAGTTCAATGGCCTGATCTGATATTGAGCAGGGGAAGATTGTAGTTTAGTACCTTTGTACTTAAAAAAGCCAGAAAAATAAGACTTTTCTTTATGTCTTTCATGCCATGTAGTGGGTCTCCAGATTTCTGCAGTCCACATCTGACAGACTTTCTGTAGCTCAATATTTGAACTCATATTTTACCGGAAAAAGATCCCAGATTCCATTTTGGATAACTTTCAAAAGGCTCTGATGCTGGAGAGTAACTTTCAATTCAGTGGTTATATTATGTGGCAGAAATAAATGACCTGATTTGTTACATGGCATCTTCCTATGCTACAAATTCTTTTGGAGTTTCTTTTTACACATTTATCTTAGCTTGATGTCTCTGGATCTACCACAGATAAATTTTAGAGACAATCACATGGGGCTGCTGCCAGTTAGTCCCAGTAAAATGCAAATTAGAAAACATTTGACAGTTGCCGACGTTATCCAAGAAGAAAGTTGTCATCTTTTTGGAATAGACATTCATGAGACATTCAAACGGATGCAACTTTCAACACCAGGGCATTTGATAAGGCAATTCTAAGCAGAGATAAGAATTAGGAGAGTCTGAAATTCTGGTAAATGAGGCACTCAAGGAGCTTAAAAATGATTCCTTGGTTGAGATCTTCCTCTGAAAGCTAATCTTACCAAAAGTCTGCTTTCAGATTGGATAGACCAGGGGTCTTCAAACTTGGCCCTTTTATGACTTGTGGACTTCAACTCCCAGAATTCCTCAGTCAGCACGCCTGGCTGAGGAATTCTGGGAGCTAAAGTCCACAAGTCATAAAAGGGCCAAGTTTGAAGACCCCTGGGGTAGACCAAATGCAAATGGATGTGCCTTGACTTTGCAATGCATCCGCTCTCTTGAGGTTCCGTGTCTTCTTGACTGGCAAGGCTCTGTGCTCTTTTAACACCTTTATTATCTGCAGGAAGATGAGCTTAGCAGGTTGTTTCTGATATATTTTCACTAACTGGAGCCCTATTTCAACTGGCTTCCCCCCCTTTCTTTTCTGTTTTGTAATCTCTTCTGAATTTTTCCTCTGCTGTTTTAATCACTAAACTAATAATTTAAAACATTAAAAATTAAAAACCTCCTGGAAGCATTGTTGTTGTTGAATGGCTGCATCAAAATTCTTAGAATAAAATCCAGCCTTAAAAAGATAACTAATTCCTCCAAAATCAGAGATTCATTAGTACTAAGAGCATTAGCTGGGAAACCTTCAGAAAACGTTTAACACATTTTAGCCAGCACAGTTTCACCTTCTAGTTTCTAAAAATTTTGCCAGAGTCATGGACAATGATTTTAATAAATTCATTAACTTTTGTTATGCCCTACTTGCATCTTGGGTTTTCATAGTCCTTGATATAGTTGTCTCTTTTTTATATATATAACTTATTTCACTTATTTGTCTTCTTGCATTGGACTGATGTGTCAGTTTTAGTTGGGGTTGCCAAGCCAATTATTGAAAGTAAAACTGTGGCGCACAATTTGAATATAAGCCACTTTATTTTTAAATCCCAAACTTCTTAAGAATTTGAAATCTAGGAAAAACCTGACTGTCTTATCCCTAAACAGTCCTTGTGATGAATCAACTGCTGTTAATAGGATGCAAGCCTAGTTCTTCAGGACGATCCTCACATCCTAGCTAATCACTAATATGACACATTATCCTTCTTATTCACTATCACATCTTCTTGACCTACTATGAATCATAAAAAAAAGGTGTGATTGTTTGCGAGACACAGCTAGCGTGTCCCGAATTAACCTAGTGTTCTGGAGAGTCCTATGCTGGGTTTCTAGGGTTTGGGGCTAAGATCAAGAGTTCAGACATGTTGCAAGAAGGAGGCCAGCTCTCTTGCAGGTGAGATAAGCCTGCCCTTAGGAATTTCAGGTCCAGCCCATTTTCAGAGTGGCAGGGATCCCGTTCTCTTGGGCATCAGAGCATGTCAGCATGTGGGAAGCATTTTGGGTGGGGCCAAGGGAGAGAGTTATACCAGGGCAGCTCTAGCTTGCTACTTGGGAGGGAACTGCCAGGCTGAAGCAGTTCCCCTTCATGCTGGGGGGGTGGGGTGGGGGTAGTGTTGTGTGAGAGCCCCATGACTTTAAAACAGCAGTGGGAACAAAACAGCAAGGAAGGCATTCTCTCGCTCTCTCTCTCGCTCTCTCTCTGCTGCTCCTGAATCGCCTTCCCAGGGTATAGAAGTACCCCCATAGCGGGGTGGGCACCGTGGCCCGAGAAAGAAAAGGCGTCTTAGCGCTCCGATCTCTTCCCCACCCCCTTATCTCTGCCTCCTTATCACCCAGACGGAAGGCAGCGACAAGTTGCTCAGATGCCTGGATAGCAGCCTCCTTCCCCGTTCACTTGCTCAGTTCTTTCCGAGATGCTTTTACCTCCCTCTTTGGGGCGGGGGGCGGGGGTGGTTTAAGACCGATCCATTAAGATCCAAGAGGGGGATCCAGCACCCAACCGGCGAGCTCGCGGACCCGCCTCTCCTTCCCGGCAAGCCAAGCCAACTGAAGGCGGCAGGGGCGTCGACGCGACCAAGCCGAACAAAGATTGCACATCAAACTGGGCGTGAGCTGCGGAGCCCCACGGGAAAGGGCCGTCTGAGCCGGGCATCATCCCCACGGAAAGCACGTGGGCTCTTCCAGGGCAGCAGATCTGACCGCTGCTAGTGCTTGCGCTGCTGTCTCTCTCTCTCTCTCTCTCTCTCTCTTGCTCTGTCGCTCTCTCTCTCTCGCTCTGCTGCTGCTGCCGCTCTGAGCAGCGGCCAAACAAGCGCTTCAAGTTTGAAGGCTCTGATGCTCGAAAGCGAACTGGAGCCAGGCTTTGCCGTGCGGGGTCTCCACGGAGCAGACAGCGTGATCAGCCCCGATGGATGTCATGGTAGGCGTTTGGGTTTGCCTGGCAGCGGCCAGAACAGGTAAGAGCCGAGGAAAGGGTGGGGGAAATCTCCGCCCCGGCTTCGCACGCCTCGGAGATGGGGATGGCGGTGGGGAGGAGAGGAATGGGGAAACCTTGCAAAGAGGCATTTTAGTCCCGGCGGGGGAGGCTGCTCCTGGGAAAACATTGGAGTAGGAATCGGGGTCTTTAATGCAAAGACAATAGGTAGCCGGGTACACGGTGGGGGAGGATCCGCTCACCTCCTTTCTTTTCTTTCGCTATGCCCTCGTTTCTCTCTCTCTCTCTCCCCCCTCCCGCTTTCTCTATAAAGTAAGGTCGTAGAACCGCTGTTGCGCTCCCCCGCGAGTTCGCGAGGCAACGTGGGGGCTGCGTGTTAGTGATGGGTAGGGAAAGGGATCGGGGGGGGGCGAGGAAAAGGTGTGGAGCGTTTTATATTTGGACAACCCCCCCCCCAATAAACTGCCGATGGCTTAGCGTCGCTTAGAAAAGTGGGGGCCCGGTAGTGCCGGGGGGGGGGGAGGGAGGGATGGTGACAGCAAAGGGGGCGCCGAGAGCGACCGAAGGATCGCGCGGAGTGGCTTCGAGGGGGGCGAGGACTCGGCGCACCGCCCCGGAGCCCCTCCGCGGTCTCGTCCTTGCGAGGCGGAACTCGGAAACTTTGCCTCGTAATGGCAGGGGCTCTTGGAGGACCGGGCAAAACCCCACCCCAGGCACGGAGCGGGATCAGGAAGCCCCGCGCCGGGGACACGCAAGAAAGGGAGCCAGCGGGGAAGGCGGAGCGTGCTTGGATGCAAATCCACTCGGATCTGCCACATGGCCCCTTCTTCCCCCTCCCCCTAAACCCGGACTCCGGGCTTTTCTTTCAGCCCAGCGGCAGCCGAGGTTTGATCTTCCTCTCCTGCTCTCCCACTGCCGGTGGGGCCCGCAGGTGAAGATTACCTGTCGGTGGGCAAATCATATTCTCGTGGGGGGGGGAGGGAGGGAGGGAGGATCAAAAGCCAGAGAGCTTTCCTCTCTACAGCCCGAGCATCAAGAGAAGGTTATGCCGGAAAAGAAGCAAAGTGCCAGTTTCTTTGCGCAGGGCTGACACTCTTTTATTGTCTTCGCTCAGCCCGCTAACAAGCAGCTGCCTCGGCGTCCTTCCGACAGAAGAGAGGGCTGTTCCGGGAGGAGGGGAGATCTGTGGAAGAAGGGGAGGCGGGGTGGGGTGGGGGAGATCGCGCAGATACAAGACCGGCTGGAGAGCTGGGGAATCGGATGTAGGGATGGCACTCCGTACCAATGACCTTCCGCGGGAGTGCGGGTGGAGACTCACACCCGTCCCTCGAGGAAAACTGGTGCTAAAGCTTCAGGGAACGGCGTGGTTTGACAATACAGACGTGGGTAGCGCAAATCTGACTCTCGGTTTGCAATATTTTCATCCCCTTAGCTTCAGTTGGGGGAGGGGCAGGACGGAGATAGACTTCCAAGATGACTATCTTCTATTGGCTTTTCTTTTCTTTTCCTTTTTTTGCTCTCCTAAAAAGCCCATTGTTTCCTCCAAGAAAAAAAAAGAAAGAAAGAAATAATCTAAAGTTTAGTTTCTCCAGTTTTCTGGTTTTTTTTTTTAAATTTTTTACAGAAGATGAAAAGGAATTTACCAACTTGGTGGGGAGGGGGGATACCCCTCATCCTTCACTTGACAGAGAGGAAAAAAAGCACATGAAAGAAGAAACAGAAGGGAAAAAAAAAAAAACCTCTTTGTTGCTTTTGGCCAAGTTGTTTTTAACCAAGACCAAAGGAATATATTTCCTGAGTCCTTTAGCGGAACATTTATTCTCCCAGTGTTACCCTCTGAAATATTTACTTGGTAGAGTTCTATAAGGCATAAAATCACTGTATTCCTTCTTCTCTGTTCCTATCCCAACTGTCTTATTATGGATGAATTTCATTTTTCCCTGGCTGTCTTAAGGTATGGCTGGGATTGTAAACAAATACATTAGAAAGAAAAGGTATCTCTACTCATGTAAACAACTGGCTGCTTTTTGGGGCAACAGGATGCAGTTCAAGTGAATGGGTGCACATGAGTTGCTATAGTTGTGTCTTTCTCAAATATTTGCAGCTTTCAGTATTTAAAAGATTCTGGTTTTAGTTTTTATGTTCTGGAGGAATATGGCTTTCACATGTGCAAATAAATAAGCCTGGAAAAAAAATTCAGAAAATATTTAACCAATACAAATGAGCTAAAAACCAACAACTTTGCTGCTTAGTGAAAATATGTGTGCTAGTGATGTGTTTGTCTTTTAAGTTTGTTTATATTTGTTTATTTTTCTTAAAAGGGTACTTAATTTAGCTTTAGGTGATTTTTGAGGGAAGTGTATCTACAGATTTCCTTCACACACTAGATTATTGCTTCTGAATCTACAGTGTAGCTCTATAGGCTTGAGTTCTTACTAAGCTGTGTTAAACATAACTGTTTTTTATATCCTAGACCTAGAATAAAGCACTTTTTAAGGAACAGGCTGGCACTCTTACCGAGGTATACTGCAGAACACAAAATCTTCAGCAACTAATTTAGCACTTACATAGCAGAAATGTACCTTATATTTTACATCCCAAACTATAGAACTGGAGGAGCAATTATATTTTCTATTCCTCTATACTTAAGATTTCTATGGTCAAGTATTTATTATTCATATCTTCAATCACCACACAGGAAAACTAGCTATGATCTTGGTGGCTCTCATTGCTTTTCAAATGAATCAAACGGAGTTGCTGTAGCTTACTTGCTTTTTATGGTGAGAAGTGAAAGATTGCAAAACTGTTAAATATTAAAAGGTATTTAAGAAGCTGGACTCTGTAAGAAAAACTTTTTTTGGGGGGGGGTCGTCAAAATTCAATTGTGGTTAAGTGGTCTGCAACTACTATTCATTTTAGCTAAAGGACACAATAGCAGTGCTTCACCTGGAATGAATTTGCATGTCTTTTGATGAATAGGTCACCCCTTCAACTTGTTCCTGAATTTTGCAGATTGGACCTAATTAGCAATCAGGTCCTAATTCTGAAGACTAAATGGGAAAATGTTGCCTGGCTGGTATAGTTAGATCAAATATTTCTCACTCATAAAATTACTACCTAAGTTTGAATTGTTGGGCTTGAACCTTACAGGAGAACTAAATTTGGAAAGAAGTTTCATCAAACTGTTCAGTAGTGTATTTTGCCAAAGAATAGTGAATTCTAGTGCATTGAAAGTGCGTTTATACTGAAATCTCAATTCACAAGTTTTATATGCTGTATTTGAAAACTGATCTATAGCTTTAAGACACAAAGGTGCGTATAAATTGAGTCAAAACCCTTTCATGACAGTCATGTTCCATGTCAACAAATGGTTGATAAAAGACATTAAGACAATGCATTTCTAAAGCATATACCACACAAATAGTTTATTTTCTGGCTTTGCTTCTTGCTGATATTGGGAACTACCTTGCTCAGTCTTAGGATAGCTTCTAAGACTTTGGCCATGAATTAGTCAAATTAGTCTTTTCTTTTTCTCTTTTTGCAAAATTAAATTAATCAGATTGCACTGAAGAAGAAAGAGAAAGTCAAGATGTGGACTCTTGAGGTCCTATAGCTGCAATTTTTAGAGCAAATCATTTTCCATGTAACTGCTCCTTTTGATTTATAAGAAGAAAAATGAGTTTAGTCATCTATTTATTCTACTGGATGCAGATGAAATAGCCATATATGTTTCTGCTTCAGATTTGATAAGAGGCGTTAAAGCTCCAAGAAAGAAAGAAGATGTGGCCGTACAACCGAAGCTGCGGTGTTATGTTGATTAATTATTAATCAACACAGTCATCTAGCGATTGATCTAGATGCTCTCCTAGGTCACTTCCAAACCTTATATTCTATGATTTTTATGATTACTTTAACCCCACTGCCCAAATTGTTTATTTGCATGCACACACACACACGCACGCACACGCGTGCGCGCACACACGCACATGCACACAGGCATGCACACACACACACACCATAGTATCAAAAGCCAGCAGAAGAGGAATGAGTACGAAAGAGTCCCAGAGTATTCATGGTCAGCCGAAGAGCCAAATCTTGGGTTGACTAAGGATGTTCCTTTTAATTGGAGAAAATCACAGGGTCTTGATTGCATTCCTATAAGATTGTAGACTTTACATAGTTCTTTTAAATGTTGCAATTTCCTTGATACAGATTAAACTTTATGTAGGGAGATATATAGGCAACAGTTAAAGCACTCTTCCCACTGTAGTTAATTTGCATATTGAACGGTAATTACAAAACAGATCTTATAGAAACCTCCTGAGATTTCTTTTTAAATGGTTGGAATTATCTTCCCTCGCTATTTCCCACTATGTCTCTTACAACCTGACTATTTCCTCAGATTTTGCAAAAGAGGAAATTGTCCTCTTTAATGTTAATTCTATGGAAAGGGAGCTTCATTGACTGACAGAAGAAAATGAAGTTACCTAGAGATTTTTAGCAGTGGATACCACAATTGGGAGATTATGACTGGAGTTACGTTTAAAGATCTTACCATGTTGGTATCCTAAACATAGATATATAGCACAGAATTGGTGATTTTGAATGCTGCCAATTCGGTACTCTCTATGGCAGGGATGTCAAACTGCTGGCCCATGGGTCGATTGCAACAGGCAAATGCCGTGCCCACCCCAACTCTAGCAATGTGAAAAAAGTCACGATACGTCGTGACTCATCAAATGACGCAGCGGGTTTGACACCCGTACTCTGTGGTGAGGATGGCTGCAGTTCCATCATGCTTTCATTTATTTTCTTGGTGAAGTATTGAACTAAACGTTTACCTAGACCCCTCATTATACTCTAGATCAGGGTTTTTCAACAGGTGGTACTTTGATACCTGGCAGGTGGTACGCGACCATCCTAGAGAAGTGGTAGCGGGGGGGGGGGAAGGAATGAACTGAAGCAGCAGCAGCGTTGCACAAGCCTTGAGGGAGAGACAGCTGGAGCTACATGGCTGTCGGG